GGGAGCCGCCCCCAGCCGCGGGCACCGCCTCCGGGAGCGCCCCGCCACCGCCGCTCGGAGCCCGCCGGGCTGCGGCCAGGCTCGGCCTGCGCCCCGGGAGCCGCGCCCGACTCGCCGTCCCCTCGCTGCCGGCTGCAGCGGGCCCGGCCGGTTCCCCGCGCCGGCAGTAGGTGGCACGGAGGCGCCGCGCAGCGAGCCCGCCCCGGGCCGGCACCGTCCGGGCTGCGCCGGCTCCTTCTCCGGGCCGGCAGCGCCGCCGGCAGGGAAAGGTGCGGAAGGGAGGACGCAGGCGTGCCCGCCGCACCCCTTCGGGCTCTGTCTGCCGCTCCTCTGCTTTATTGACATAAATAGACAGCAACAAGTCAAACTGACACGGTACCCCTCTCCCTGTTCAAGGCCCTGCTGCAACGTGACCGATGCCGAGTCCCACCGCTCCCTCTGCTGCCCTGGAGCAGCAGCAGGAGCGTGAGCGCGATCCTGCCAGCCCCGGACACCCACCACCCCCAGCCCTGCTCCTTCTCCTCCCCGAGCAACAGGCATTAACTGCTGCATGGAGTGCCAGGAGCCTGTCCCGTGAAGATGAAGCCAGCAGCAGCAGGGACAGGATTTGTGTCCAGGATGGGAGGGTGAAGAGCTCAGCTTTCCCTTTGTCTTTTGAAAAGCCACTCCACATCCCCCTTCCTATTCCTCAAGCCATGGGACAGGGCAGCCCCAGGGGAACAGCCCTTAAACCAGGTGTCCCATCCCTGGCTGCAGAGCTGCTGACAACAGGCAGAGACAGCCCTTCCCCTGCACCAAACAGCGACCCAAATCCCCGCTCCTGTCCAAACCCCAAGGGAGAGGTCTCAGCTCCAGCACTGCTGGATAAATATTCTGCCCCTAGGCCACCACTGCAAAGCTTTAGTTCCCCGCTGCCAGTGGGCAATGAGAACTCAGTTCCAAGTCTTTTCAGCTGAGGGCAGCTGTGCACCATAAAAGGAGCCAGGAAGGCCACGGCAGAAGGGAGGCTCGAAGGAAAGGAGCCCTGAAGCTGGCCTGAGGAGTGCTTGAGCTGTGCAGGGCTCTGGCTGCCCTTCCCCACAGCTGACACAGGCGTCACTCTTGCATCAAGCTGTTGATCTTTGTGAGCAGCACATCCGTCTCAGACTCTGAGGAGACAGAGAAAAAGCAGTCATTGTGGGCAGCCACCATCCCGCAGAGACAGGCGGAGCAGCCTGAAAAGCAGGTTTGAGGATATTCGGGAAATGTGGGATTCCCCTGTGCTGTCCCACAGGGCTGCTTGTTAACGGCAGGACAGGGGGAACTCCCTGGGCTGGGATTCCCTTCCCTCCCCCAGCCATCCCAAACCACTCTGTCACGTTTGGCTGGAGAAAGCTGCCTGCCTGTCAGGGAGAGTCCCAGAGGCAGAGCCTGGCTCCAAGGGAGGGAAGCTCCCGTTCCGTGTGCACTCACCCGCTGGCCGTCTCCTGTGGGAACATTTCCTAGGAGATGGAATAGGATCAATGTTAGCATGCAAGTCTAGTCTCACCGTTCCCTCCCCTGAGCTGCCAGCTGGAGGCTCTGGGGCCCCACAGTCCCAGAGGGAACTGCTCTCAGAGCCTGCAGCACTGGGAAAAAGCAGCAGGACCAGGATTCCCCAGCCTCAGCCCACCAAGCCCGGGGTGCAGAGTGGGTTAACAAGTGTGAACTAAGGCATCCAGCAGCCTGAGGCAGGGTCAGGGCAGACTTTTAGCTGCAGCTTGGAGATAAAAGTTGCTCCCACACACTTCTGTCTTATTTAGCCAGACAGGAGAGCACGCCCCCAGGATCTGAGTCCAGAGAGGGCTGGCAGCAGGTTTGGGTCTGCATCAACCACCCAGGGCACACTACAACCTCCCCCAGCAGAGCTGCCTTGGGGGAAAGGGATCAAACCTACTTCATCAAGACGAAGGCCCAGATGATGATAAGGAAAGAAACGCAATCTACAACAATCCAGATCATGAAGTATGTGCTGCTGGGCTGCAAGGCAAGGAGACAAGCCATTGAACACCAGCTAGGGGTGGTGTGCCATGGCACAGCCCTGCCTCCTGTTCTACAGGGTCGCATGCTCCCATGCCAGTACAGCAGTAAGCAGAAGTCACCCTCCAAGCAGCTGCACAGGACCCACAAGTGTCTGGGACACAGGGCTGTGGGGCAGGGTGAAGGATGGAGGGGTCACTTACCAGCAGCCAGATGGGGTGTTTCATCTCCTTTAGCACCTGGCAGGCGTTGGTGGTGACAGAGCTCACCCCTGAACACCACAGCACGGAGAAGAGCCAGGGCTGGTTCACCACGTACAAGTTGACAGAGATGTTGTCCTGGCGGTACTGCCTGTGTGGGGACAGCCATGGTCAGAGAGCAGACAGCAGGGTGCCACCACACTCTGCACAGCCAGAAGGGGCTGTACATTTGGGATATGATCCAGCATTTGCAGTCACATGAAGCAACAGTCTGGAGGTCCAGACCGAGGACAGATTTGCTGGCAGGGCAGAGGACTGCAGCCAGCTCCATCCTCTGCACCAGCCCTGCCTGATAGGGACACTTGTTCACAAGGCACACTCCCAGCTCTTCCCAGAAGCACCCCTGTACTCAGCACCCTCACCTCTGCTGGCCCCTGGGACAGTCCTGAGACCCACACAGCTCCCAGGTACTTGGACAAAGCGTTCTCACCTGATCTCCTCAGAGCTCATGTCCTGGTAGGGCAGATTGACGTGCAGTACTGGCTCCTTCTCATTCTCAACTCTCTTCCGGCCGTAGACATGCTGGACACCTGGGGCCTGCTGTTTGACATCTTCCCTGAACCCATCTGGAAGCCAAAGGACCTAGGCAAGAGCCAGAGAGCACGTGCAGAGGAGAAGTGCTCCAGAGAATTTGCTCTCTTTCAATATTCCCTCACAGGTCCAGGCCCACACGGCCTGCTTAGACAGCTGCTTCCTGTCCCCTGGCTTCACACTCACCTCTTCCATGAGGATCTCAGCCAGGACAGTCTCCTAAGAGCTTGCCCCAGCCAAGAAATAAGCACAGGTCCCACTGAAGGGAGAAAGCAGTTCCAGCCTAGGAAAATCTGCAACAGTTAAGTCCTTTCTGGGTCTTTGAATGGCTCAAGAAGTGAATCCATTTATCCCCAGCTCTGCAGCAAGAATGCACCTTGGATCACCACTATAGTAGCAGTCTTTTCTATGTCCCCTCCTGCTTTGCATTCCCAAAAGGCCAAGCAACGTGATTTGAGTGCTGATTTGTCCCCTGAGGGCAGCACATATCCTGTGCTGCAGGGGTTGGATGAAGCATAAAGGGAGCACAGGAGGGTGCAGCAGGAGTCCAAGAGCTGCAGGGAGAGGTGTGGTGGAGTGTGGGGAGGTGAAAGCCTCAGCATTGTACTCCTGCTCATGCTGGCAGGGCTGCTCTCCTCCCTAGCCTGAGTCATTGTTTACACACCAGGGTGGCCAGTGCTGGGAAACCAAAGTATTTGGAGGGGTCTGAAATATTTGGAGGGGTCTGAAGCTGTAGGCATTAAGCTCTAATTTTTGTAACTTTTCCCAGCTAGAGAACCCCACAGGTGGGCAGGGCTGCCCAGCAGGGATCACACATAGGGACGGGGTGTATGGGGTGTCAGGGATGGTCAGTGTGGCTGGCAGGGCACCTCCCACCACGGCAGGGGTGTGACAGCAAGGCCTGGCAGGGGTGGGGTGGTGACCAGCTCACCTGCTGCAGTGGGATGCCTGACTCTAAAATCACTCCCAGGGTGACATTGACAAAGTTCTGGTAGTCACTGTGGTTCTCAGGCCGAAGGTCAAACATGATGGAGATGTTGCTGTGCTTGGCTGCCTCTAGAGCCTGTTCCAGGGACGGGATCCTCTGTTCAGCTGCCTCCTGGCGATCACCAGGAGAAAGACCCTGCACAGTGGGAAATGGCCTCCGCTGCAAGGGTGAGAGGGGGGCAGTCACCACAGGCAGACCACCTGTCAGCTTCCACATCCCAAACTGGTTCCTGTCTCTCTCAGTTTCCTACCCTGGCCTCTCCATGTGCTCTCCAGTGCAGACAGGCACAGGGAACCTCCCTATGCACATCCATGGGCACCTGTACCCTTCTCCCCACTAACAACAGAATTCAAGCAGCCCCAACGCCTGTGGGCATTCAAAGCTGCTCAGCAATAGTTAGTCACCTTTTGGGAAGAGCCTGGCCACAGCTGCCTTCAAGCCCAGGCAGGCTGTGCAGCTCAGAGCAAATATGAGACACCACTTCTCAAAGCAGCCTCCTCATGACTCAGCTGAGGAGTCAGAACAAACCCCAGCTTGGGGCATAACTGCACTCAAGGGATTTGTGCAAGCTTCTGCACCCTGTCCAGGTGTCTGCTAGGACCAGGAAAGGTTCTGGAGCCCCAGGGCAGGGCTAATGCTTCACCCAAAAATGCACCCATTCCTCACCAGCCACCCTAAGGACATTCCTGACCTCCAGAAACCAGCTGCCAGCATCCAGCTGCTGGAGGTCTGTCCAGTTGAAGGCAGTGCTGTTCAGGGCAGCCCTCTCAGGGAACACAGCCTGCACGTTGGTGGTCCTGGTGAGTTCCTCGTCATGCATGAGGAATGGGACCCCGTCAGCACTGGCAAAGGAGCACAGAGGAAAGCCATGTGTTTTAAGTTGTTTGTCTCCTATCCCTGCCCTGGCATTTCTACCCCCTCCCAGCCACCTGCCCAGAGTAACCCTCATCCTTATTCTGCTCATGGCCCTTTACACAAAAATGTGCACCTAGAGAACAAGCCACCAACCAAGTATTTCCTTGCTCTCTGAAACAGCTGTCCCAATAACAGGATTGCATGAGATGAACTGGAGCCAGGGTCTGTTCTCCAAGCAGTACCCCTCCCCTGACGGAGCCTCCCTCCCCAGAAGGCAATCTGCATGGGGAGGACAGAAACCCAGTACCTCTCCCAGATCATTGGGACACCAAGCTGGAGCCTGTCCCATACTGGGAAGGTGGGAGTGGCAGAGCCCTTTGAACAGGGCTGCCTCTAAACGCAGGCTCTATCAGTCCTCCAGGTGTCTTCCATAATGCCCCCTGTGGGAGGTGACATCCCAGGACACACAGCCCCTTCCTCCCTCTGAACCCCTTTACCTCACCATGACGTCTGTCTCAAAGACTTGCACATCACAGTCCACTGCCTTGTGCAGTGACATGAGGGTGTTCTCGGGGGCCAGCTGGAAAGAGGGATGATGTTAGTGCAGGGGGCAGGCACTCATCCTGCCTGGATGCACCCAGCAGCTTGGCTGAGCTCTAGGGCAACCACAATGAGCCTGGGATGACGTGGGCCTGGTGTGGGGTGGAAAAGGACTGGGGGTAGACAGTCAAAGCCTGCCTTGTCCCTGTTCCCCAGCCCACACAAAACAACCAGGCTTTCTGCTGGGAGTTGCACGCTCCTGGTCCAGCAGTGCTCAGGAAGCAGCTCTGTCCTGCAGCTGCTGTATCCCCTCTTCACCCTGCGCTCACCCAACCTCCAGGCCTGAGCTGCCCTGGCTGCTGTGGGGATGCCACTGTTCTGGCCAGAGTTTGTCCAGGCCTGTGGCCACAAGGATCTGTGCCCCACAGCCAGGCACAGCCTGGCTTTTCCTAGTGGAGCAGCCTGCCCCATCCACCCTGACCACTGCCAGGGTGCTGGTCACTCACCATGGGTGCTCCTCGATGGCCAACTAGGGCTGGCTTGGGGGGCAGCTGGTTCTCCTCCATGATGCAAGGGGAGGTGATTCCCAAGGGAGCCAGGTATAGTGCAATCATTGCTGCACAGTACACAAGCAGCACAAACACCCTGAGACCTGCAGGCACAGACAGAAGTTAGAAGGGATGAGGTACAGAGGTACTTTGCAGGTCACTAGGAATAAGCCAAGGCTGCTTCAACTGGCATTAACCTGTGTTGCCCTAGGTCAAACATTGCACCCTCAGCCTCAGGAACATTGTGGATATATTCTTGGCCTTTGCCAACTCAGCACTTCTGCAGCACTCTGCCACCTGTAGCCCTCCTTCAGCTGCAAAGCAGGGGGGGCTGAAGCTGCAACAAGGGCTGGTCATGAGAAACCACCAAGAGCAGGCATTACCACCACACTGGAGACCCATTCCCACTACTGCACTGATGCTCCTCGAGCAGTACTCTGCCACCAGTGCTGCTCAGCTGGGTGGCAGGACGCAGGGCACCAGCCAAGGTGACAAGTGGAGAGCTCGGAGGGGGATTACCTGTACTGCGAGTGCGGTAGATGAAGCTGGCCAGGGGCCAGGCAAGGAGCGTCATTCCCCCCACAGCTCCAATGTGCAGGAAGGGACCTGTTGCCTGGGGAGGCAAAAACCACAGGGTGTCAGCCAGCACCAGTGCCTGTCCCCAAAATACACAAGCCTCAATGCCAGGGATCTGCCCCGCAGCCAGTGCTGGAAGATCCACAGTGCCGGGAGGGAGGGACAGGCTCCTGGGGGACAGAACAGACTCCCTGCTCTGGTCCAGCCACATTCATCAGTCTGGTGGCAGTTGCTCCAGGCAGGACTGCAGGGGCAGAAGGAGCACCTTGCCTGGCCAGGCAGCAGAAGTCAAGGGCAGGGAATTCACCCTCAGTGCATGCAGCCGTGCTGGGGGCTTCAGGCAGCACCCTTCAGCTCAAGCCCACAGGTCAGGCTCTGGGTACAGCAGGGGAGTCCCTGATATCGAGGTGACTCACCTGCAGGGAGATATGTGCACTTTTCCACTCCTCCGCCCACTTTATTCCCAGCCCTGTGAAGGCTGCAGCTACCACCAGGGCAGTCAGGATCAGCAGGATCTGTGGGGCATGCACAGGGTAGTTAGGGGAGCACACAGCATCTTGCAGGCCAGGCAGAGTCCTCCTCATGCCTTCCTTATGAATCCCTGCAAGCCCTGATACCCCACTTTCTCCATCTGGGTTTGCAGCTGAGCTCTGTGCTCCATGCTTTGAGCACTGGGAATATTCCCATCCCAGAGACATGTGGCTGAGCAACTGACAGCTGCAGCCCCGGTCAGCAGGGACACACAGGGGGGTCACAGCAGCCATACACAGCCCCAGCAGGCTGGTCCCAGCTTCTGAAGGTGCAAGGGCATGCAGGGCAGGCACCATCTCCCTGCACCTCCGGTCTCTCACCTTGTGCACCCAATGTAGCTTCAAGGGCTGGCCACAGAGCTGCAAGAACAAAGCAAGGACCTGCAAGGGCAAGGAGCCGTCAGAGCTGGGCTGTGCCCCACACCTCATCCCTCACAGGGCACGGGACTCAGCCACAGAGCTTGGGCTCCCTGGCACAGGCAGGGGCTCTGGCTGTGCTCAGGCTGACCCAGCTCCAGACGCTGCAGTCTCCTCCCAGCCCAGGGCAGCCTGTGCTCAGCACAGCCCCATTCCCCCAGCCCAGCGGAATCAGGAGGGCTCACCAGCAGCACAGACGAGTAGCTGATCAGCACAGCCGTAGCTATGAGTAGGACCAGGGACCAGTCCAGCCACAGCTTCCTCTGTCTGAAGATGAATCTGCCAGCAAAGGGGAAGGTCAGAGGGGCAGGGATGATGTGGGGAACAAGGCTGGATGTAGATCCTACTCACTCATTGAAGTTGTGGAAATCATTGAGGATGATGATAGCGAAGTAGAGCCACACCAATGTGAAGAGGAAGACGAAGAAGAGGAAAAGGAACCAGCTGCAATCATACTGAAAGCCAGAGAAGAGAGTTATACACATACCCTCAGGGCACTTAGCCCCCAGGCAGGTTGCTGAGACCCCTGGGTATCACCCAGCCAGCACTGGGGAGCACAGGGGGTCACAGCAGGCAATAGCCAGGGGTCCAGGCACTGAGCTGCCCCATGGAGAAGAACCAGAGCCACCCTGGCTGGCTCTTTTGGCTGGACCCATGCTACAGAAAGATGAATCAGCATGTCCTACAACAAACTAAAATTCTGCCTCTGCCAGGCTGGGGAGGATGGACCCTGTGGCAAGACTGCCTCCTTTGCCATGCAGCACTCCATGGGAACAGACTGGGACTTTGGACATAAGAAAGGGTGGGGAGCCAGGTCCCATTCCCTTCTAGCTGCATGATCCATGTGCTAGGCAGACAGCAGTGCAGGGCCTCAGAACTGCCCTTGTAGTGGTGAGTCTGCAGGCTGGGTCCAGCTACATTGTCCACGACCACTAGTCCCACGTGTGGAGGAGGTGGGGGGTGCCACAGGTGCCAGAGGGACACCTAGCAACCCAGACTTATTTGTACATTCCAGGCAAGACACGACAAGCCGCAGCAGAGCCACACCCATGGGAGTCGGAGACCTCAGAGAATCCCAGGGCCTCACCACTCCCAGGTTACAAATTGCTGGGGACACCCTCCTGGTGGGGCCACACCCAGCCCAGGAACTGTGTCTCCCACGTGCCTGGCCAGGTGCCCCGGGACCTGCTTGCCAGCTCAGCCCTAGGGCTCTGCTCTGCCCCAGGCACGTGCAAGCCCCACTGCAGATGCACACTAATGCTGCTCTACCCTTCTTGCCACCCAGCAGGAACACAGCTCACCCTCCCAGTGCTCCAGGCCAGGGCAGTTCCTGGACAGTGAGCGTGCCAGGTAGTACCCAGCTTTCCTGGGGCTTGGCCGTGGGAAGCAGGAGCAGCAGCAAGAGGTCAGCAGCTCAGTGTCTGGGCTGAGCATCCCAGCCACAGCCCTTCCCCACCCCAGCCAGCACTCTGAGACTCCCAAAAAGGGTCTGGCAAGCCCCAGCTCAGCATCACTCTCACCTTGGTGGTTCTCAGGCCCTTCCTCTTCTCCTTCTTGGCAGTGATCCACTGGCAGCTGTAGGGGCAGAGCAGGCAGGTGGCACAGGTAGAGCAGCAACCAGGGGGGTCTGCCATAGCAGCAGACTGTCCCAGAGCTAAGGTCAGGTGTCCTGTGGGGATACACACAGTGTGTTGGCACAGGCCTCCCAACATACTGCCCCCACCCCATGGGGATAGAGCACTGAAGCATTTTGTGTCCAGGTACCCTGGCAGGTGGCCCAGAGTGCTGGAGCATAGTGGGGCTGCTGGTTGTGTACCCAGGCAAGGCACGGTGCCAGGGGAAGCAGCAGCACAGGGTGCAGCCCAACCTGTTCAGCAGGCTGTGCTGGGACCCTTCACCCAACAAGCTGGAACAAGCCTGGAGCTGGCAGGGAGCAGGGCCTGCTCCCCAGCCCAGGGTTCAGCACTCTGCCTGGGAGCCAGGACCACTGTGCAGGCTCCAGGGACAAGCAGCCCAGCCAGCCAGCTTGACAGCACCACTGCACCCAGGCTTCCTCACCTGCAAGGACTGTCCAGGGCCATGCCATGGCCTGGGAAGTCCTGTTCTGATCCCTAAGTCCAGGTCCTTGCTGCTGCAGGACCATCCTGGCAGCTCCTGAGCTCAACCTGCACACCAAGGAATCCCCAGTGTGGCTGGAGGAGCTGCAGCTGAGCAGGCACTGGATGGCTTTGGTCCAAGTGCTTGAGGGGAACCCATTTCTACAGTCACAGAGATCCAGGCTGAGGGCAGGGCCACCACTGAGTTCCCCAAGCTGGCAAGGGGACAGAGGCAGGATGCTTTGCTGTGATCCCCAGATTCCTGGTGCTTGGCTGGAAGAAGCAGGGACCCCAAAACAAGATCTTCCTCAATCCATCTGGAGAAATCCCATCTTTACTATTGCTTGTGCTGTTGTGGAGCTGCTCCTCCTCACCCCAACCTCCCCAACAGGCCAGGCACACCATGCAACACAATCACCATGCAGATTAAGCCTGGCTCTCATTTCACTGTGACCACTGAACCAGGCATGGGAGCCAGCTGACCACATCCCCTCCAGTGCTGGAGGCAATGATGTGCCTCACAGAGCTGTGTCCCATTCCAGTCTGGGCTGTGGAGAGAGGGAGCAGAGCTAGCCCAGCTCCTCCCTGGCTCAGCCAGCCAGACCAGAGCAGCTCTGCCATGCCCTAGCTGTGGCCCAGGTCAGTCTGATCTGCCCCTGGAACAGGGCAGCACTCCAGCCTGTCACCTTGCTCCTAAATACCACTCTGTGGGGGGCTCCAGGGCCGGGGTGCAGAGCCTGCCCCAGCGTGACTCACACAGAGCACAGGGTCACGCACAGGCAGGCAGCACCCTGAAAGCAGGACACCATCCCTGGCCAGGCAGCTTCTGCAGGCTGGGGGATGTCTGGGGGCTGCCATCAGCAGGTCCAGCCAGCCAAGGCACAGAGAACGATGAGCAGCAAAACAGAGCCCCACATATGCTGCCCCCTCCACCTTCTAGGCACCAGACCAGCAGCTGTGACCTGCTCAGTGATGGCACTGAGAGAGTCAGCCTTAACACAAGGATGCCATGGGTCCAGGTCCCCTTCCTGATGCTCAGGGGCTCTGGCTGCAGGCTCATACCCCTGCTGTCACCAGAAGCAGAGTCACCATTTCCACCAGGGACCAGCAGGTTCAGCCAGCCTTCACTTGGAGCCACCCTGTCCCCTGTCACTGCTCACACGGGCAGAGCACTGGTGTCAGCAGCTCCTGGCAGGCTCCCACGCAGGGTACACAGTACAGGAGGAGTGGCTGTGGGCACCAGCTGCAACTCAGCACTCAGCTGCTCCAAGGGACTTGCTGCCAGGACTGGAGCTTGGCAGAGAGTGGCACAGGACTGGTCACAAATCTGCCCCAATGGTGCTGTCTGGAGGGTTTGCAGGAAAAATGCCACCCTGTTCTCCAGCTCAGAGCACGACTGCAGCAGTAGCATCAGTGATTATGGCACAACATCCCTGTGCAGGGCACACATCCCAGACAGAGCAGGGATAGGCACACTCCAGACCCTGCTCAGCTTGTGCTCCAGCTCCAGTGGGAGAGCAGCAGAGTGAGAGCCGGGGCTCCATCATGGCTGGAAGGACCCCACCCAACAACCCCCACTGCACATGCAGCCCTAGTGTGCGAGGCACAGCGAATCTGAAGGGCTGACAAACCCATTGCTACAGCCACTGACACAGCAGCGTGTGCTGGTAGCCTCACAAGGACCTCTGAGCTCGCACAGGACAGCCTGGGGGCCATATGCAGATCGAGATCCCCTTGTCCTGGAGGAGCCGAGCTGAGCCAGCCCAGGCTGTGTGCCACCGGACAGGTCAGCAGGAGCTGGTTCCTAACTCCGCTGCTCCCTTTCCTCGTAGGACGGAGGACAGAGCACGGGCTCAGCATGGGGCATAGGGTGACCCCAAAACAGCAAGAGCAGCACAGCCTGGCCCAGACCCCGCACTCTCAGTCTCATGCCCGGGGAGCCAGTCCTGCGCTCCCCGTTCCTGCTCTCCAGAGACTAGGAACAACACGGGCAACCCCCTTCCTCCCCCCGTCAGCTTCCCGCAGAGCCGGGACGATCACCCCCTCCCCGTGCCGCACTGCCAGCCCTGGCGCGGCAGGACAGCATCCCCAGGGCCGGGGCAGCCGCCCCGGGACCCAGTACCTGCTCCCCGCGGCTGTCGGGCTCCCGCAGCTGGGCCAGGTGAGCGCGGGGCTGGGCTCTCCCGGGCCCATGCGTGCCAGCACTCGGCTCCCGCTGCGCTCACACCCTCCTGGGTGTGCCCCGGCCCGGCGGGGCGGCCCGGCAGGTCCGCACAGGCCGGCAGAGGCGGGCACACTGCGAGCCGAGCCGAGCGGAGCGGGGGGCCGGGCCGGGGTCAGGGCGGGCCCCGAGGCTGCCGCGGGGAGAGGGGGAAGGGGCCCCGGGGCCGTCACGCGTCGCAGCGCAAAGGAGTTTGCAGGCAGGCCACGTCCAGGCAGACGGAGACTCCAGGGAGAGCTCCCGGGAGATGGAGGCAGAGCTTCGTGCATCGCCGCGCCTTTGAGAGAGGGGCTGTGGGAGCCTCTCGGACAAAAGGGGACTTTTCTCTTCCCGGCAGAGGAAGCCCGAACAGACAGAGCCCAGGTCACCACGGCTGGCCCGGCAGACACACCGGGGCATGCTTTGAAGGCAGAAGCACAGAACTAAAAGTGCTTTTCTTGCCTTGAGCCAAGAGAAATCCTTCCGAACCAGTGCATTTGAACTTTGCTAAAGCAGCTGATGAAAGGAGGCTCCAGACAGGCCTGATGCCACCTGAAGATGGATGGGCTGATGCCTTCCAATTTCCCCCTCCCTCCCTGTGGCACAGCACAGCTATCCTCCTCTGCTGCAGGTCTCTACTCCTAGTGAGCCAGGATGCACGATGGGCACTCAGGCTTTTCTGCGTCACTGAATTGATCTGTCATTGCCTGCGATCTCAGCGGACCCCTCTGATCTTCTGCCACTTGCAAAGGACCCGAGAAAGCTGATTTACAGGGAGGTGATGGCATTCTGCAGTGACATAGCAACTGCCAATTTAGGCAGAAGCCTCAGCACTCAGCCCTCGGCTGATCCTGTCCCACACTATGGTTAACAGCTTCTGCACAACTCCTTGGGCAGCTCCATGGAATGTGCTGATTAAGGCCTTATCAGTGGAGGGTCTGGGGCACTGCAGGAGGGTTTGTGCACGAACACCCACTGCTCTGCACCCAAAGGAGTAAGCTAAAAGCATTGCAAGGGCCAGGAATATCCTTCAGACAAGCCAGCAGCCCTGCACACCCAGATTTTGCCAAATGAGAGCAGTTTGGCAGTGAGGTTCACCTCCCGCATCCATGTGTTCTGCCGACTCTGACACAGACCAGTCGCGCTGCTACACCAAGAGCAAAGCTGTGTGCACACAGCGAACCTGCCCCCCAGGAAAGCCCCTGGGATGCAGAGAGCCCATTTTATGGGGGAGAAGGTTGACTCTCAGGGATTGGGTTGCAGGTTTTGAGGAGATGAATTAGTAAGCACTGAAGTGAGGTGAAGGATCACTCAAGCCAAGAAACACCTTAGGCAGTGTGTAGGGGAAAACCGAGCATGAATAGAGACTAACGAGATCCTGGAGGAGGGGAAGTTGCAGCAGAGCTCCGGGAGATAAAAAGTTGTGGATTTTAGTGGAGTGAGGCAAAGTTTGTGGAAGAGACACCCCGGGCAGACAGAGCAGCGGGACAGGCGGCTCCCCGGGGGACTGGCCCCCGTCTGACGGCGCCGGGAGGGAGCGCACTTCCCGGGGGAGCCGAGCTGCTCCAGCCTAGCGCTGCGGAGGGAGCCCCGTTCCCGGGGGAGTCGAGCTGCTCCAGCCCGGCGCTGCTGAGGGAAGCCCCGTTCCCGGGGGAGCCGAGCTGCTCCAGCCCAGCGCTGCTGAGGGAGCGCATTTCCCGGGGGAGCCGAGCTGCTCCAGCCCAGCGCTGCTGAGGGAGCCCCGTCCGCAGGGACCGCCGAGCGCGCCTGCAGCGCCGCCGGTGCCCACGCGAGGGCGGCAGCGCGGCCCCTCCCGCCCGGCACGGCGCTGAGGGGACGGGAGCAGCGCTGGGGCCGAGCGGAGCCGTGCCCTGATCGCCCACTGAGGCGGCCCTGCTGAGCCCGGGCAGCGGCCTCGGAGCGCTGCCCGTGAGGGCCGGGAGCCGTGCTGGCTACAGCCAGAGCCGCGCGGGCACTGCCGCTGCCTGGCCACCAGACGGCGGCCTCGGCCCGCGCTGCTGCTGCGGGAGTGTTGAGCCGGGTGTGTGACCCAAAGGACAGGGCTGTGACCAGAGGCGTGACACAAAGGACAGGGCTGTGACCCAAAGGACAGGGCCGTGCCCAGAGGTGTGACCCAAAAGACAGGGCTGAGCCCAGGGGTGGGACACAAAGGACAGGGCTGAGCCTGTGGATGTGACCCCAAAGGACAGGGCTGAGCCCCGGTGTGTGATCCTATAGACAGAACTGAGTTTATGGGTGTGACCTAAAGGACAGGGCTGAGCCCATGGATGCCACTCAAAGGACAGGGCTGAGCCCATGGATGCGCCCTAAAGTGCAG